GTTTTTGTTCTTATCACCCCCCCCCCCCCCCTCCCTCCCAAAAAATCCACTATAATTCAGTGTTCTTTGTAGGGATGTACCAAAATTTCGGCCGCCGAAACATATCTGCTGAAAATTGCACTTTTGGCAAAATGCCGAAAGTGCTATCTTTCGGATGAAATTGGGGTGCATGCCTGGTTTTCTCCCGGTGGGCGCTGTTCTGTGTCCCCTCTGACACAGTGCAGCATCCAGCAGGGAGGAGAGAAACTGTCACAGGTGACTGAGCAGTGCGGGGGAGGAGAGCGTTGTGAACGGCCGGCGTGTCACAAGAGGCCGAGCTCTCCTCCCGCACCGCCCTGCTCAGCCTCCTGTGACAGATCAGGAGAGTTGAGTGGGGTTGGAAACAGCTATCATAGGAGGCCGGGCCAGCGGTGCAGGGGAGGAGTCGGCTGTCACAAGAGACCGAGCTCTCTTCTCTGCACCGCTCGCTCAGCCTCCTGCGACAGTGAGTCAAGATGGAGACCGAGTACAAGCAGTCAGCGATCAGTGATCTCTGACTGCTTGTAAATAAATGAGGACATAGTATGTTTACTGTGTCCCCAATTATGAATGAATGGGAAGTGATCTACATCTTAATAAGTTTATGGTCATTCCTGTTCAGGTTTTGCCATCCTTTCGGAAACCCAATTGACAACAAGGCAGAGGCAGTTTCTAGGTCCATGTACACAGTTGTTGGGACCCTACTTCGACCCGTCTTGGCTTCCGCTCTGGTTTCTCAGACCCTGACGGAATGGGCGAAGTTGCTTCATGATGGAATGGCTGGTGAGAATGTGGCTCTGTCCTATGTCGAGCTTGCTGATCAGCTTGTTCAGGGCCTCAAGTACCTTTTGTAACACTGCCTTGGATGCTGGGCCCTTGGTGTCCAAACTTGTCCAGTTTTGTCACCGGTAATTCATAGGCTTTTATGGCTTAAGTGCTGGTCGGTGGATCTGGCATCCAAAAATGCTCTTACGGAGCTTCCTTTCTAGGGGGACCGTCATTGTAGCACTACGTTGGATGAGATCATCAAGAATCTTGCAAGGGGCAAGAGCACCTTTCTGCCACAGACCACAAAATCTAAAGATTTGCGGTGCAAACCAGGTCCTTCTTTTTCTGCTCAAAAGCAGTTTTTTCGTTCCCAAGGTCATCCCGGCAGAGGTAGTAAATCATCTGGACCTTCCACCTCTTCTACATCGAAGCATCCCTGGCATGCGAAGCTTGCCAAGCCCTCCGGTAAGCCTTCCTCTGCATGAAGGTCTGCCCCCACCTTCTCTTCTCAAGGTGGGGGGACGGCTACTTCTTTTTTCCTGCCCTTGGCTTTCTCATGTCTCGGACCAGTGGGTTTTCAAGGTGGTTACCTCGCGCTGCAAGATAGTTTCTGGCTCGTCCTCCAGACTGCTTTTTCAAATCCAACTTCCCATCTTTCTCCCCAACATCTCCTGGACCTTCACAGGGTGGTTGGGTAGTTGCTCCTTCAATGGGTCATCGTTCCTGTTCTCCACTCCGAAAGCTTCACAAGCTTTTATTCAAATCTCTTCACGGTTCCTAAGAAAGACAGTATTTATCTCCTGAACCTCCAAATCTCTCACCAGTTTGTGCGGGTTCAGAAGTTCAGGATGGAAACCATTCGCTCAATGGTGGCTTCCTTACGTCAGGGAGATCTGCTGGCATCTATAGACCTGAAGGATGCCTATCTTCATGTGCCGATTTCATTGAAGGACACAGCACCTGCCCTTAGTTTGGCTGTTACTGTTTTGTTTTCACTGCTTGCTACTAACTGAGGCTGTGTTCGCACATGGGTGGTTGGGCCGCCCCTAGGCTATTGTTTTGTTTTTGTGCCTAGTGTCCTATTTCTGCAGGTGGCAGTACACCCAGTGGTACAAGATTTAGCGATCTTCACGGTGTCCTTCAATGAACACAGCGAAAAGGATTTTACGGTAAGTACAAAAAAAAAATCCTATTTTTTTTCGGTTTCGACCTGACATTTTTTTTTTTTCTCGGTTTTTAAAATTGCATATCAGTGCACCTCTCGTTCTATGACATTAAATTATAAAAAAAACTATGAAAGTAAGAGGAATGCTTTTTTTATAGGCATTTGCACACTCAACATGCAGCGTGCATGATTTCCCCAAAACTGCACATGATTGAGATAAACTCCTGTCACTATATTCAGCAAGAACAAGACCTAAGGTTGGAATGCATTTGTAAAGTAGCTTGGTTCTAACGTACGGTAGGTGAAAAGGGGGGACTGCAGCAGAGAAGGCAAGAATCTTTTGTAAACTACTTGTTTAGAAGTGAGCGTAGCCACCTAGGGAACACAGCCACAGGAAGTGTTATTTGCAGCATTATCAGGTAAAATAAAGACATAAAAAAATGAATGCAGCCACCACATCTAAACACTAGTAAGCTGCAAAATATTACATCTATATTTTTTTTTTTTTACTTGTAAGCCCTCACAAGCAGGGCCCTCCTTACCATCTTGTGTTGAATAGTACTGTAATGTCTTCCATATACAGTAATGTAAAGCGCTGCGCAAACTGCTGGCGCTATATAAATCCTGTATTATAATTATAATAAAATGTTTTGTTTTTGGGTTTACATTCACACGGCTGCTGGTGCGCCCTAACCGCACAGTGCTGATGCATCAATCCCAGCGCATCGCACGGTTTACTTGTTTTGCTAGAACGTTTAGGGATCGGCCAATATGGATTTTTCAGTATCGATAACCTGACATTGGTCGACCCCGTTTGTTTTAGTTCTTTATTTATTCTGGCAATGGCCGCTGTCAGAATACAAAGAAAAGAAAACGGATAGCAGGGGAGCTAATGCTTCCCCTGCTATCTGCTGATTCCCCTGCTATAATTTTTTTTTTTTTATAGCGCTGCTGCCAATCAACGAGGAGAACTTCAGGTCCACCTCTGCTGATTGACAGCAGCAGAGGGCGGGTGCAGTAGCTGTTGTGTGGTGTGTTTGCCATCTGTTGTGTGGTGTGTTTTTTTTTTTTTGTCTGTTTTTTTTTTTACCCTGACGGCGGCCACTGTCAAAATAATAAAAACATATCAGAATCAGCAGATAGCGGGCTTCTCGCCAGCACCCACTGTGTAAATTTCGGCTGGTTCCTCGAATCAGCTGAAATTTGCACAGTGTTTATTATCGGTAATTAGAGCTGCAGCTAACGATTATTTTCAAAATCGATTAGTTAGCCGATTATTAAGTTCGATTATCGGTCACTTTGACTGATACAGATTATTTAAAAATCTGTGAACGTCTGTAACGATTATTGGTTGATCCAATAATCGGGCGACTTCTAAGTGAAATGTCATGAGTGACAGTTTATTCACAATGCATTGGCACAGCGTGATGTAACCCGTTTGTACTATGTTGTACCACATTGCGTTAAAAAAAACAAAAAACAACCTACCGCATGCAGTACTTTTTTTTTTTTTCCAGCGCACACACTATTGCACCACGTGTGAACTGAGCCAAGGTGGATTGCTTTGTCTATGTGTTGGTGGTTGCTTTTTCTATCGCAGCCCCAAGGCATCCAGTGTGAACAGGCCATAACATTTTTGAGTTTGTTCAGGTTGCTCACTGGACATATTGTTGCTCAAGTAAATGAGAAAAATCATGATTTCTAGGTGTCAAAAGGGAAAATCATTGGTAGTTCTTGATGAAATATCTTAAATTGTACAATGTATCAAATCTTTTTAATGGCCATCAATGAAATACCTATCTCTGTATGCCCAATTAAAAGCAAACCTGTACTGAGAAACTAATTGGCTGCCTATGCATTTCTAACTACCTGGCTGTCTATGGTTTCAATATTTCTAAGTACCAGACCAAGAACAAGCATGCAGCATATGAAGTCAGACCGAGCTCCTGGTCTGTATACTTGTTCCGGCTTAGTGACCCAGAAAGTATTAAAGTAAATGCCTCATCACAAGAAACTGGCAAGTAACATCTTCCTGTAGCAGAGGTCAGGAGGGACAGCCCAGATATTTCTCGCAGCACAGACATTTTTTTTTAAACTTGTGTGATCTTGAAAGGTACCCTGTGCTTAAAGGGGTTCTAAACCCTCCGTTTTTTTATTTTTTGAAGTCTAAATAAAAAAAAAAAAAAAGCGCTTTAACTAGGTTTAAACTTACCTCGTTATCGCTGCTTGCTCCCGCGCCAAGAATCAGGAACTGCTCGTACGGCCGCAAAGGATCTTGGGGCGGGCGCATGCGCAGTTCCCATTCTCGGCCGGGAGACAAGCGGAGACAGACGCAAGGTAAGTCTATGGACGCGTGCACCAGCATGCAGACACCGCTGGACCGGAGGGACAGAGCAGTCAGCGCTGGATCGGAGGGCCGCCGCACCGCTGGAGGGACAGATGAAAACATCAGGAAAGAAGATCGGAATAAGAGACATAATTTTAAGGTAAGTGCTAACATGGGGGGGAGGGACATTTTTTTGACTTTAATGTCACTTTAACTGTATATTATATGAACAACCTATTAGAAGACTGTACTTTTTGCTTTTTACTCTACATATCATATACCTACAGATGGACTTTTCAGTTCGAAGGAAAGGAAAGCCTAACAAAGGAGGTGGCAAAGGACAGCGCGGTAGTGGAAGAGGTGGGCGAGGAGGCAGAAGAGGTGGTGGCAGACCAGAAGGTTCCAGATGTGAACCTGGCGGAGGGGGAGGAGGCAAAAAAAGCTCTAGTAAAGCCTGGGATGATGGAGATGATATTTGTTTCTCAAGCAAGCCAGTGAGAGCAAGGTAATGCTTTTTTCCACTTTTTCTTTTATTACTCCTGTTTGGGGCTGCTGGATCATTTGGAGACCTTTCCTTTTTAATTGCCTGGAGAAGTGAATTAATTTGCAATTTTGAATTGAGCAAATTAATAGTTTCATCATAGTTTTCTTTATTATGACATTTATTTGCTTGTTTAATATGCGTGCCTAAGCAGAGCGCAGATTCTTAAGAATTAAACTTGGCTTAATGCACACTGAAGAGGTAGTTTTTTTTTATCACTTAGAAAAAAACCAAAAAAAAAAACCACATAGTCTCAGTGACAATCATTAGCGATGATGTACCCGTGTACCTTTTTTATGGTTCCACCCAACTATGACGGTGCCAAGCATATGGTGAGAGAGGTCACTGACACCGGACACTGGATGTTGTGGTTATATTTGGTAAGAATATGATGTAATATGTAATGCTAAGTACTAAACTTCTACTAAATACTAGAATTTGTATTACTGTCCTTATGTTTGTACCTTTCTTTTCATTTTTTTTTTTTTTTTTAGTTCTGTCCGTAGGCACAGCTCTCGAGCCCGTGGGGGCAATGTAGCCAGCACTTCCCTCCAGACCCTTCACATGACCACCGAAAACCAAGCGCGGGTGAAAGCATTACTACGGGATCTTCAAGCTCCAGATCTGGATGCTGCAATTGAGTAATTTCTGAATTATTGTAACATCAAGGTTTTTTCTTTAAAATTTGTTTTAAATGAAAACAATACCCATTTTAGGGCAACTATATAACATGGTTCTAGAAAAAGGTGGTTGTAGAATACAGTCTATTTAAAATAATCACAGCTGGCTTTTTTCTTTTTTTTCTTGCCATAAATTTTGGTTCCCCCTCTGCCCCCTCCAGCCTAGTATGCCCCTACACAGACCTCTGATACAGAGCGGACCTACTGCCAATCTGGGAATTTTTTTACGCATTCTATAGTGTCAGGCAGGGCAACAAATTGTATAGAGGTGAAGTGGAGAGCCAGTTCAACCCCCCCTTTAAAGGAGAACTATGAGGTGAGTGCTTTTCACTCGCCTCATAGTTCTAGCCGACCTGTGACAATGAGACTGTCACAGGTCGGCTCAGTAGATGGGGAGGTGAGCGAACAGTTCCTGGCGTTCGCTCACCTCTCGATCCTGTGACGGCTCTCTGCCGTGACAGGGGAGGGGCGGGTACAGCTGGCTCTGCCTCTAGATGGGCAGAGCCAGCTGTCAGTCACACAGCTGAAGCGGATCCCGGCACAACTGTCGGGATCCGCTTCAGCTTTGGCGTCTCAGTATACCGCGAGCCTAGGGTGACGGGAGGACGCTAGTTTGTGTCCTCCCGTTACACTAAGGAGAACTATGGGAAAAAGACTTAACCCCATAGTTCTCCTTTTTAAAAAATGTTATATATATATATATACACACACATATACACATATATATATATACACACATATACACATATATATATATACACATATACACATATATACACATACACACATATATACACATATATATATACACATATATATACACACATATACACATATATATACATATATATACACACATATACACATATATATACACACATATACACAGGTGAAACTCGAAAAATTAGAATATCGTGCAAAAGTTCATTTATTTCACTAATGCAACTTAAAAGGTGAAACTAATATATGAGATAGACTCATTACATGCAAAGCAAGATAGTTCAAGCTGTGATTTGTCATAATTGTGATGATTATGGCTTACAGCTCATGAAAACCCAGATCCACAATCCCAGAAATTTTTTTTGGGCAGGTGCCAAGTCCTGCTGGAAAATGAAGTCGGCATCCCCATAGAGCTCGTCCCCATAGAGCATGAAGTTCGGTGACGTCGATGTCTGTGACGTCACCGGACTCCTCCTTCCCTTCGTTAGCCGAGGAGTTCCGCCTGCTGAAGGGCCTGCAGCTCCTTCATGAAAATCCCCTGCCGCTCTGCCACCCGTAGCAGTAGAATGTACGGGCAGCTGTGTGGGGAGAGGAGGCTGTGTCGGTCGGAGGGGACCCTCTGGCCGCCGAGATGAAGCAGCTGCTGCTAGATGGGGAAGGGGGGGGTTTAAACTGGTGGTGGGCGTGAGGGGGGGTTTAAACTGAGGCTATGTCCTGTATAGTCCTGTAAGTCCTGTATAGCTGGTGGTGTTCTGCATTGATGTATAATGATTATACAGCAATGCTGAATACCACCAACTATGCAGGACTGCAAGTCCCAGCAATACATTATATTAAGTAGGGATCCACCTGTGCCAATACTGGGCATTTTCAGAAGCACTCGTACTCGTGAAAATGACACAATACTAAACGCAGATACTGGCTTGTCATAGGCAACTGCTCCAGATACTTTTGCTTCAGTTTTGATAAATTGCCATCATACTGTTTGAGTGTGTGTGTAGGCCAATGTAGTTGGATCTGTATGTGCGTTTATAATTGATTAAAAAAAAAATTTTGATTAATCGAACAGGAAAATTTTAATCATTACCAGTATATGTGTGTATATATATATATTTCTCTAGTCCCCTTCCAGGACAGCATTAGAGAGATAGGCTCCTCCCACCGGAAACAGGAAACGCATCACCCACACCTTAATCAGATCGGCAGAAATGACGTCAGCCATACAAAACCTTCTACAGCAAGAAGTAATTTGTTCGGTGACGGTAATGAAAGAAAGGACGGGGTTTTACTCACATGTATTCCTCAGGAAAAAACCTTCAGGGGGATTAAGGGTTATACTAAACCTGAAACCCCTGAACAAAGTAGTGCTCTACAAAAGGTTCAGGATGGGGTCAATTTACACGATCAGAGAATTGTTGCTCCCAGGTATGTTTCTGGCCACGGTAGATTTGAGGGATGCGTACCTTCATATACCAATGGCGGAGGAGGCCCAAAGGTTGCTAAGGTTTGCAATACAGGGGCCTGCACAGACGTTACACTTTCAATACAGGGCGCTGCCATTTGGCCTGTCATCAGCACCAAGGGTGTTTACGAAGGTCCTAGCAGAGGCGTTGGCACCCCTCAGGCTGCATGGAATTGGGGTCATTCCGTATCTGGACTACCTACTATTTTTTGCCAGCAACCAGGAGTCACTCAGGATGCTTGTTGCAATTACAAATGTTTAGGCATTCTCATGTTTATTTCTTTTGTTTGTATTGGTATGACACATCAAAGTAGAGGAAAAAAAGCCAAATCTGACACATTCCACGCAAAACTCCAAAAATGGACTGAACAAAATAATTGGCACCTTCTCCAAATTGCAAGAAATAATTGAATTCCAAGTTTGTGATGCTCCTGTAATTTGTAATTAAACTCACCTGTATCAATCAACAGGTGCTGACAATCAAGAAATCCCACCGGCAACCAGGTAAAATGGTGAAAAATTGACTCAACCTTTCTGTTGTGTGCCACGGAGCATGGAGAAGAGAAAGCGCAGCAAATAATTGTCTGAGGATTTGAGAACTAAAATTGTGAAAAAGTAGGGACAATCTCAAGCTTCCAAGTCCATCTCCAGAGATCTTAATGTTCCTGTGTTCACTGTGCGCAACATTGTCAAGACTTTTACAGCTCATGACACTGTAGCTAATCTCCCTGGATGTGGACGAAGAGAACAATTGATCAAAGATTGCAACGAAGGATTGTTCGAATGGTGCATCCACTTCCAGACAAATTCAAGCTGACTTTCAGGCACGGGTACAACTGTTTCCGCTCGCACTGCTGACACGTAAACATAAAAAAGCCAGATTGGCGTTTACCGAAACGTACCTGAGAAGCCAAAATCCTTTTGGGAGAATGTGCTGTGGACAGACAAAACAAAATTACAGCTTTTTGGTACAGCCCATCATTCTACTGTTTTCAGAAAAAGAAATGAGGCCTTTCAAGAAAAAAATAGTCAAATATTGTGGAGGTTCACTGATGTTTTGGGGTTTCTTTGCTGCTTTAGGCACTGGATGTCTTAACTGTGTGCATGCCATTATGAAATCTGAAGACTACCAAAGAATTCTGGGGTGCAATGTAGGGCCCATTGTCTGGAAGTTAGGTCTCTGTCAGAGGTCCTGGGTCTTACAGCAGGACAATGAGCCAAAGCACACGACAAAAGGCACCCAGAAATGGTTTCAGACAAAGCCCTGGAGAGTACTGGACTGGCCAGCAATGAGTCCACATCTAAATCCCATAGAGCTCCTGTGGAGAGATCAGAAAACAGCAGTTGGGAAAAGGAACCCTTCCAATCTGAAAAACCTGGAGCAGTTGGCGAAAGAAGAGTGGTCCAAAATTCCTGTAGAGAGGTGTAACAAACTCATTGATGGTTACAGGAAGCGATTGATTTTAGTTATTTTTTATATTTGGCTGTGCTACCAAATATTAATGGAAGATGTCAATAATTTTGTCCAGTCCATTTTTGGAGTTTTGCAAGGAATGTGTCAGATTTGGCTTTCCTTTTTTCTCCACTTTTTTTGCCTCATACCAATGCAAACTAAAGAAATAAACAAGTGAATGTCTAAACATTTGAAATTGCAACAATATTGTACGCGAGGTGGTGCATTATCTGACAGAAATGCGAGGGTACCAATATTTGTGTGTGTGTGCCCCCAAGCCGGCTTGCTCTAAAGTTGCCCATACACCTTTTATAATTATCTGCAGATTTTCTGTGGTCAAATGGGAAAAGTGCAACAGATTGGCCCAGGTGGAGATTAACTTATCCACACAGTTAAGTGTAGATAGAGGAATATGTTGCAACTTTTCCATCTGACCATAGAAAATCTGCAGATAATTGTAAGGTGTATGGCCAGCTTTAGACCTCTGCAGCGGTCTAAGCTCCCGTAAATCATCACGTTCTATACAGTGTATAGGATGTGAGGACGCCAAGGGACATTTGATTGCTGCAGCATAGGAGGATACAGCAGGAGGGAGTGCTGTCACAGCTGGCTGGCTCTGAGGATCTGGTGAGCATAACTTTATTTTCCTCCCTAGACCAAAACGAGCACTGAACCCTTACTGTGGGGGGTGGTAGCCCCACTGCAAGGATTAATAATTTTCCCTGGATTTCTGCTTTAAAAGAGGCTAAATATGTCTGTTTTTGTTGTCAAACGGAAAATTAACCAACCTCTTCTCCATTTCTGATTAACATTTTTTGGGCTCTAGGCTGCAACTTGTCCACTCCAACGTAGATCCTTATAGCCTAACATAGTGTTAATTATAGAGAGAACTCCAAAGACCCCTCTCTATCTAGGCTGATAATGTGGTACCCCATTACTTCCCAAATATTTTACATGCAACACTGTATGCTTTTTGTCTTTTCTGTCCATCTATGACGACTGTCTTATCTCCTTTCCCTTACACCAATTAAAGCAGAACTATGAAGAGTGCTTTTCACTCGCCTCATAGTTCTAGCCGACCTGTGACAATGAAACTGTCACAGGTCGGCTCAGTAGATCGGGAAGTGAGCGAACACATACCGGCGGTCGCTCACTTCTCGATTAGTCCTTCATGCCTGGCTTTATTTGCTTACTTTTTATTTTTGGATTATGCAATCTGATTTATGAGAACAATTGTTCCCATAGATCAGTGCACGCGCCATCTCGTACGCTCTAAACCCATACACAGAGCACTAAAGGCAATATTTAATATACTGTGTAAAAAAACGAAAACAAAAAAAAATAAAAATTTTACCCTTTTTATTATTACAAAATCAACAAACCAAATAAACAATGTAGTATTTAGGTTGCTTATCCTGTAAATTAGTTGCTTGCAACAATCGTTAAAGAAGGATGTGGATTACATTGACATGCAGATTGCCAGTACAGGGAAGACCTGGAAATCGTTTTTATGCAATATGGTGGGAACAGAATGTCACAACTGACAATTAAAATGTTAACAAGGTACAAGAGGTAAACTTGACAAAGATTACCTATGAATGAGAATTCACTGAAAATAAGTCCTATATTTAATTTTTTATAGTTTTCCAGTTTCAAAATGTACACCGTAGTTGTTTACAAATGACTAAAATAATATATATGTCTGCTGGACTGCCTTTAGCGTCTTAAGATTCCACAGTCAAAAGATTGATCTGGGAAGAAAACTAGAGTTGTTAGACTTTGGATTATGCATCACCCCAACAAGCAAGACATCAGTGACGGCATATAACTAGCATAACTAGTTGTGCTTCAAGTTGTTGGCACTGGTAGAAAACCATTTAAACTAAACCTAATAAAGATTATGTAGAGTAATCATCCAAAAGTAAATGGTAAATATGTAACACTAAAATGTCTGTGTTTGTTTGCAGCGATGTAGGATCAGATTTGGAAGGGTATGACTACAACAGCTCCCAGGAGGAGGAAGATGAGAATAATAATGAAAACTCTGATGAAGACTTGGCATTCAATGTGTGGTCACCCCCAATAGCCAAAGATCAGGCAGAAGAGAAACTGTCCCTAGAGTCGCAGGCAGACACTTTACCAGAGGCAGTTATATCTACTTTTGCTATTGGAAAACTATCCCGGTGAGTCCAGCAAAATATTTCAAGTTTATCCAATGTGTTTGACGCGCTGTACAAAAAAAAAAAATGTTTTATAGTGTTGGTATAACTCTTTTCACAGTTTAAAGGGAAATCTAATCCTCCGATGCATAAGAAAATCTGCTTATTTTCCCATTACGCTCTTTGCTCAATATACAGGCTGCACTCCCATTCCAAGTGTGTAGCCGCATGTGTAGAGGTTGGCCATGTTACATCCGTCTCCACACTGCATTGAGAAACCCGGAACAGCAGAACGGCTAGCAATAGCTAGTTTTCTATTGGCTATTGTAAAGTGAAATAGCCAATAGGAATGCATAGCTAGATTCTGAGTGACGGCGGCCTGCGGCCATGATGTCAGAAAAAGCAGAGCAGAGAAAGTGTTTATCTGCGACTTTTGGAAACTGGTAGTTACTCTTCTCAACAACTTACTTCAATGTTCTCTCCCCTGAACACCTGAAATCTGCCTATTTGGAATACTAGATGAAGAATGTTTGGTCTCCATATAAAATAATATTACTGAGGGAAATATTGCACAAGTGGAACTACAAGTCCCGTGAGGCATTGCAAGACTCTGACTGCAACAGTCATGACTCCGAGGTAGAGGGATTATGGCATTTGTAGTTAAAGCACAGCTGGAGGGCTAGATGATTACCAATTATTATTTTTTTGGCTTTTCTCTGGGATGAGGGTTAAAGATAAATCTAATGTCATTCTATGTTTGTTTACATAGACGTTATTATGCAATTTCTTTTTTTTTTTTTGGTGAATAGTTGGTTATAATTTATTGCAATGTCACAACTTATTTTTTGTTCTTTGCAGTTATGGCTTTGATCGAGAGAGATGTATGATTGCTCTCAGGACTCATGATGGAGAAGTTGGTGCATCTCTAGAATATTTGCTGCAACAGTGCTTTTCAGAAGCTTTTGGCATCCAAACAAAAGCTCCGCGATCTGCCAGTGATATTAAATTGGAGGACATCTTGGCATTTCGTCAGGAAGAGGCATTTGTCCTTGGCTCAATCTGTGGGGAAAACTTTATTGAGAGACTACCAAATAAAGTATGGACAGTAGGACTGGAGCTGGACAACCTGACAGCCAAGCTTCAAAAGTCAAGACACAAAAACCATACCAAAGATTTGGTGATGTCAGATCCTAGAAATATCTGCAGGTTTTTCGCAGCAGGTAAAACGTGCAGGTTTGGGTCAAAGTGTAAATTTAAGCATGACGTGCCAAAGCAGACCTTGAAGGATACGTCTCATCTAAATGCCAATGCAGATAGCAGTTACCTGTATGAACTTGAAATTCGGTTTCCAAAAGATAACAAATACCCTTATGAAGCACCACTGGTAGCAATTCACTCACTAAATGAGAACCTTCCAAAGGCCTGTCAACTTCATATGGCAGAATATCTTTATGAAAAAGCTTTAAGATGTGCTCAGAATGGCGAACCAGCTGTTTACTCCTTGGTTACCTGCTTAGAAGATGAAGATAGCCTAGTGAAACTGCTTGCCAACACGCATCACAGATTCAGCATCCCTCCACCTGTTATAGTACCAGCAACTTCTGAAAGCAAGAAGCCACCTATAATTATTAATAAACCTACCCCTCTTGAAAAACCAAACCGTACCCCAGAAGGTATGTAATTACAAGTATGCTTTTAGGTCAGATGCGTACCTGAATAAATATTTTAATGGTCTGATATTTAATTTTCCTTAACTTTAAATAAAATCTTAACCCTTGCAGCGGGGCTACCCATGCACTCCAGGTGTTAAGTACTTGTTTTGTCACGGAAACTAAAATGACAAATAAGTTATACTCACCCAAACCACGATCTTGGCTGGCTTTTAGACCGGTCCTTTCAGCCTGGTCCTTTCAACCCATCTCTTCCTCTGCTCCAGGTATGGAATGTCCCTCTGTGTTCTCACGTCCTATACAGTGTATAAGACATGACTCAATGGATCTTAGACCGCTGTAGCAGAGGGGGAGCAAGGCTGAAAGTATCGGTCTAACAGCCAGCTGGATTGTGGTTCAGGTTTTTGCTCCATTGACAAAACAAGCACTTAACTCTTGATGTGCGGGAGTGGCCCCACCGCAAGGGTTAAGCTTTTATTTGCCCAGAGTTCATCTTTTAAGGTGCGTGTGTGTGTGTGTGTGTTTTCATATGTTTTGGAGACTGTAGTGCTAAGTGATCAGATCATACTTGTTTCATTGAGTGCCTATGGGCACCTTTTTAGGTTTTTCAGATTTCACAGGCTGCATACATGTTCATACCTGACCACCTGCGTGGTAATATTTTATTAGTAGTAAGAACCTTCAAATATCGCTGCTCCCGTGTACTTAAATACTTACAAAGTATACACAAACGTCAACACCAATTGCTCAGTATTTATGCAAATGTTTGATGCTGCAGACTCTGAGGGGCTCATTTACTATGACCTTTCATTCGTCACAGGGAACCTTTGTTGGTTTCAGCCCCTGGTAATATACAGATAAATTGCAATACATTTTTCCTAGAACTGTACTGGATGTTTGAAGCTGATACAGTTTCTGTGGGCACAATGATGTACTTGTGTCTTGTTGGTAAATAATCCCCTAGTAATCACATCTGTCTTTTCAAACGTTCTCTTTATTTCAGCATATCTCATGCTGCTTATTTCTGTTTCATCCTGTCCCTCCAGTAGTTTCTTATCACTGCTTTTCTTGTGTAAAACCTCAAAGCCCCCTTAGTTTTTCATTATTATACAGGTATATAAAATAGAAGAATATTTTATTTAGAAATACATTTTTTACAAAGCTTTGAATCGCATACATTTGAAGTTATTTTTTTTGTGTGCAGTACAGTGCCAACAAAGGGTCAGGTTTAGTTACATGTGCGCTGACAGGCATTCAAAATGACTGGGCTTCATTTTACACAATTCACATTAACATGCAGCATAACACATGTGACCGTGCACAGCATCAGGGAAAGTCTAGAACACTTACTGACAATTTGAGTTTGAAAATCCTGGGAAAGTGTGGGGAAGATAAGATGGAACATATTCCATATAATTCCAAATTATCTAATAAAAAAAAAAAAACATGTCCCTAGAAACCTGACCAGTAGGTAGCATAACTATGCATGTGGACGAATAAAATGTCATGGCCTTTGTATTCTTAGGTAAGAAGGAACAGACCGCAATAACCGAGATTAATAAAATTACCCAAACTGAAGAGGATGAGCTGGATGATCTGGAGTCACAGAATGTGGTAGTAGAAAATGAAAGTTATGTTAACATAAGGAAGAAGCAATCCAAGAAATACAGCTGGAACCCCAAATCATTTCAAGCTGAAAATGCCAAAATCCGCAAGCACTTCCGTGTCAAGCAGGTAATTCAACCCCATTGGTGTATGTATATTACAAAGACAATAAGACTGTATTTTCTCAAAGTGTCTCATACAGTTAACCGGCTGCTGTAAAGGAAGCATCATGAAATAAAAACTGTAATACATTGTATGTTAGCAGTCCTTGGATATAGTGGCTGCATTAGTTTAGTTTAGTTTTTTTTCTCAGGCCAAGAACATTTTCAGCAAGTACGGAAAATACCTGTTGATCTGGATAGAAATGCAGTGTCTATCTTGTGAGCTAGGAAAAAAGCAAAAACCCCTTATTCTGTCTTGTGTAAGCCATTAGTCACGTCAAACCACCATGCAATGGAGTAAACAAGGGCATAGGTGACTATGGCTTCCTCCATACAGTGGAGCCACCTAAGGACAGGGAGTGTGTTATTTGCAGGAGGTGCAAGATGGGAAAAGAAACCTAGTGCACCCCACATCTAAGGATTGGTAAGCTACAATATATTATTTTCCCAAATATTTCATCCTCCATCTTCTTTCCTGCTTACCTCCCTTGTTGCTTTCTGTGGTGAGCTGTGACTTCTATCCTCCTTCAAGCCCCCAGGACAACCATCCTGACAGGTGAGATTTTGCGTGGGGCTCCCTCTGCTACATGATCTGTAAGAATCGGCACTTCCTCATGGACTCCTAGCCTGTGGAAAAGCAGAGGCTTTGTTGCTAGTGTTTACACGGTTGATGTGCATCCCCTTGACTTGCAACACTGGGCATCACTTCCAGTAAGGACAGAGCCTGGGGATCGGCCCTTGGACCCTTATGTTCTAGGCTTTGAATCGCAGGGGGCGAGTGAGTTTCTGGCTGGCCACTTTGGTACCGGTTTCTGATGTGGGAAGCACAGATGCTTGGACTATTAGTACTGGAAGTGCTAGCTTACTCTGCTGCACGTTTTAATCTTAAATCAAGGAGAACTAGCGGCAGGCACTGGTGCTACCAGCTCTTTGCAGGTAAGAGGCAGCTTATGTCAGCTTCTTACTTATGGTGTGGTAAAGCAGTCACGCTTTTTCTGGCTTAATCTTCTGCGGCCCCTTGTAGTCTTGCCTGGGCACAGTTGGCTTGTAACTGTTGGCACCAGGGTTCTTTCCATTGTTGTGGGTTGCAGTGGCATGGAGCCGAATGGGAGAATAGCTTCATAAGTCAATAGGGATGTACTGCACAGGCAAGAGGGGAGGAAGAAAAGAAAGGGGGAAGGTTGATGGGTCTTTACAAAAGTTAATTATTTTAGGAGTATGTTGATTATGGTATAGGTCCTTATTCACAAGTGACAAAACTGGCATGTCCATCAAATATACACTATATTGCCTAAAGTATTGGGACGCCTGCCTTTACACGCACATGAACTTTAATTGCATCCCGGTCTTAGTCCGTAGGATTCAATATTGAGTTGGCCCACCCTTTGCAGCTATAACAGCTTCAACTCTTCTGGGAAGGCATCCACAAGGTTTAGGAGTGTGTCTATGGGAATGTTTGATCATTCTTCCAGCAGCGCATGTGTGAGGTCAGGTACTGATGTTGGACGAGAAGGCCTGGCTCGCAGTCTCCGCTCTAATTCATCCCAAAGGTGTTCTATCGGGTTGAGGACAGGACTCTGTGCAGGCCAGTTAAGTTTCTCCATCCCAAACTCGCTCATCCAGGTCTTCATGGACCTTGCTTTGTGCACTGATGTGGAGTCATGTTGGAACAGGAAGGGGCCACCCCCAAACTGTTCCCACAAATTTGGGAGCATGAAATTGTCCAAAATGTTTTGGTATGCTGATGCCTTAAGAGTTCCTTTCACTGGATCTAAGGGGCCAAGCCCAACCCCTAAAAAAACAACCAAACGTCATTGCCAGACAGAGAAGCCTGATTCCTCACTCCAGAGAACGCGTCTCCACTTCTCGAGTCCAGCGGTGGCGTGCTTTACCCCACTGCATCCGACGCTTTGCATTGCACTTGGTGATGTAAGGCTTGGATGCAGCTGCTCGGCCATGGAAACCCATTCCATGAAGCTCTCTACGCACAATCTGAAGGCCACACGAAGTTTGGAGGTCTGTAGCTATTGACTCTGCAGACAGTCAGCAACTTTCCGCTTCAGCATGCGCTGACCCCGCATCTGTCATTTTTACGTGGCCTACCACTTCGTAGCTGAGTTGCTATTGTTTCCAGTTGCTTCCACTTTGTTATAATACCACTAACCGTTGACCGTGGAATATTTAGTAGCAAGGAAATTTCACGGAACACCTGAATCCAATGATTTTGAAGGGGTGTCCCAATACTTTTGGCAATATAGTGTATGGCATACATCTGGACATCCGGAAAGCAACTGGCAGGGTATGACTGAATGCATTGCGCTAACCAACAAGATATTAACTTGGAAGAATTTTCCAGTCTACTAGAAGAGGAGGGTTTTATTGAGCTTGAGTTTCAATCAGGCACACTAGGGATGAACTTGGCGGGGGGGAGTTACTAGTCATGGTGTTGGGTCTGCTGGTCTAAGTGACTTACAATTTTTAAGTAGAGAGACAAAGAAATGCCGCAACTGTAAATGGCGAAAAAGTTTCCCATTTGGGATTTTGAGTCTTTTAAATTGTTGAAAGGTGCAGACCCCTTGCATGCTTAATAAAGAGTTGGCCATTTTAATGCCATGTGAGCTCCGCCAGCTCCTTTTTTTTCAGTTCCACAACAGTTAGGAGGTCCTATCTGCAGTCATCCACATGACCCCATTACCTCGCCAAGCATGAATATGTACGTTATTCTAAATTACAGAAAATTTGCGCTCCTAAACCTCACCTAGACCTAAACCTCTATTAGTATTATTCCAAGCTGCTGTGCCAAAAAAAAGTGTAAACACTTTTACAAAGACAGTGATGCACTGCGCTATATTAAAGTGCATATCGTAAACTTTAGTTTTTAAATATATATATTGTAAATCACAACATGATTGTAAATCTCACAATGTCGGATATACAAACTAAACTAAAATCCTCATTAGTTAATCTCCCTGTTTGTCATTATAAACTTTCAGTGCAGTAAACAGTTCCGTGCTAGTTTTCAAACCTGATGTTTCCACACTTAACAGTGATTAACACCGCTCTCCATCTGTGTGCTCCACCACTGGAGTAAGGAGTCTTTTTCTCTCTCCTGAAATATTCTCAGATGTTTGTGAACCTGTACAGCAGAATTGAGTCTGCTATTGTTGCAAGAAAGAATGATCCTCCATTATTGTAAAGTGGTAAGGTCAGAGCTGAGACCTCCAGTGGTGAGATCTTGTCACTGGAGTCACCAAAAGTTGTGACAAGCTAGTGTGATTTCACCTACCACCATCTGCCTTTTAACCAAAGTATTAGGTAGACCTAACATTTTGTAATTTCCATTTGCATTCATCTACAGAAGTGTACAGGTGATGTGGAATGTTTGCGTGTAAGTAAATTATGTAACTTCTAAATCATTTATAAAGTGTTAAAGTGTCTTCACAAAAGCTATACCTCACTAAGAAGTTATATTTTAGTCCAGAATGGAGTTGGCAGGTTAAATCACCAACTAGATCTCTTTTTCCCTTGTGTTTCTGGAATCAAGATCTCTGCTTCTGAGTGCCCAGTTTCACCCTCCATAAGGCAGTTACAGAAATGTTCGATCCTCCATTTATGAATGTGAAGAAAGACACCGCGCTGTCTCCCCCTGCTATTTAAATATCCATAAGTGTGGTGAAAATACCACCTCCTATATTGGATCAGAAAATCGGTATGCAAAACGTTATATTAAATATAAATAATAAACCAATCCGTAGTGAGATAATACAAAGTCTTCATCTGTTGCAACTAATATACAGTTCATAATCTATTGCAGCTCCTTTTTAACTCCAACTTCACACTATTCCACCTCTGTGTGTTCAATCTTAGAGCCACTCACCATATTGCAAAACAATACCGGCGCCTTCAAATCCAAAAAGAGCCCAGCAGTAAAAATACAGCAAACACGGTGGAGGCAGCTCCCACAGATTATATGGAACACCAGTCTATGAGAAAAAGAACAAAAGAGAGCGCCTCCATAGTGTAAAAATGTTATTTAATAGTAAAAACACGCAGCTCTAAGGCTGTACTTACAACAGTTCGGTAGAATAAAAACCAGTAGAATAGGGTGAGAGGATGGAACCCCTGGCAGGGAGAATCTGGAGCGATGTAAAACAGTAACATCGATCCCTGTATTGATAAATGGTTAACGTGTTTCTGGGGCACGCCCCCTTCATCAGAACCCTGAAGGGGGCGTGCCCCATAAACGCGTTAACCATTTATCAATACAGGGATCGAGGTTACTGGTGTTTTACATCGCTCCAGATTCTCCCTGCCAGGGGTTCCATCCTCTCACCCTATTCTACTGGTTTTTATTCTACCGAACTGTTGTAAGTACAGCCTTAGAGCTGCGTGTTTTTACTATTAAATAACATTTTTACACCATGGAGGCGCTCTCTTTTGTTCTCTTTCACTCACCATATATTCAGACCATGCAAGTGGTCTATTAGCATATTATTAACTCCTCTCTCCACTGGATTCCAGGAATAAGAGTGTAGGCAAATCTTCCAAATCAAATAACGTATTGGCGGTCCTTCAACTTCCTTCACTTTAAACATAATACTCTCTCCAAAAACTTACATCAAAAATGACACGAATCGGCACTGTGGCTCAAATTTTACAGCTTTTTAAAGATTGCCTTAGACTTTATGCCATGTGCTATTCTAGTTTCTTTTTTGGGAATGAAAAGATCCTGATCGATATATAAAATCCAATTTTTTCGGGAGTATTATGTTTGAAGTGTTTAAAGCATAGGAATTAAATTGAACCATTAGGGATGGGCACCACACCCCCAACTAGAATTGTATACAAGAAAAGAAAAGCGGGGCTTTATTGGTGCGATCAAAAGCACTATTTTGATCGCACCACACAATGTGCCTTGCGATCCCGTGCGGCGAAACGCATTGCGGCCGGTGGGCGTGGCTACGGCACCATTCACTTGAATGGACTGTCACGCCCCCTCCTACCCCACTGAGCCCAGTGAGCCGGCCGCAATGCGAGGCAGTGCGTTCCGGCACGATTTTGGCAATTAGTGTGACTGGGCCTTAAGCTGTCTCTTTTCTCTGCTGCGCAAGTTCTTTGTTGTTTTTGATCTTCCATTTATGGAAGAATGTATCAAGAAGGAAAGAGACTTCCTTATTTTATCCTTTTTTAGAATAGTGATGTGTGACAGAGCTTGGATCTCCACCAGAAGATCTCATCACTAGAATACTGTTGGAAACAAAAGTTTTTATTGATTTATTTTTTTTTTTTTTCCCCCTAGGCAAGCAAGAGTTATCAAGCTATGCTTCAAGAGAGGATGAAACTTCCTTCATGGGAGCAACAAGACACTATACTGCAGCTGATGGATAAATGTCAAGTCTTGGTTGTATGTGGTATGACTGGGTAGGTCATTGGTGCGTTGCTGTCTGAACAGTAAAATATTAAATGTTTTTTATGGATAGCTGCATTTTGCAAATGTCTTCTTGCTTTTTTATATAAAGTGTAATGATATGCCTTATTTGACACACTGAGAATGGTCAATAACATGTGCAGACATTAACGCTGGTACAGTATATAGTAGCAGCCCCCACGGGACTAAAAAAGTGTCCAGTGGCCCCCGAGTAAATTGAGTTTGAGACCCCTGATTCAAATGAAACGATACCTTGAAGCACTGATAGACATGCTGAATGATGTGCTTTTCCTTGACTTCCTTATCTAGGTGATGTACAGGAAAAAATTTCAAAAATCGTGTACAATTTTGTGTTTTTATTCGTGAGCTCATGTGGTATTTTTTTCCCTTTAACAGATGTGGTAAGACCACACAAATTCCACAGTTCATCTTGGATGCTTCGTTAAAGGGATCTTCCAGTGTTCTGTCCAATATTGTATGTACACAGCCACGCAGGATATCTGCCATATCTGTGGCTGAACGTGTTGCTCAAGAGAGAGCAGAGAGAGTCGGAATTTCTGTGGGATATCAGATTAGACTTGAAAGTGTCAAGGTTGGTGGAGTGCTTATAATAATATGGATTCTGGTCTAAATGGCAAACTCTGTTTTTGATTTAGCGACATGCTTGTAGGCAGAACAATTAGTTCCTTGGCTGTAAGTTTGTGGAAATGTATAATTTCCTTTCCAGTATTACCTTGTTAAAGTAGAACTACGGGATCAGTGTTTTCCCCCATAGTTCTCCTTAGGGTAACGGGAGGACACAAACTAGCGTCCTCCCGTTACCCTAAGCTCAGTATACCGCGAGCTACAGCTCGTGGTATACTGAGACGCCGGAGCGGATCCCGACGTAGATGACGGGATCCGCCCAGCTGCGTGAGTGACAGCTGGCTCTGCCTATCTAGAGACAGAGCCAGCTGTACCCGCCCCCTCCCCCGTCCGTTCCGCCAGTCAGCGCTGGCAGATCGGAGCGGGGAGAGGGGAATCCAGCCCTCCCCCTGTCACGGCACAGAGCCGTGACAGGATCGAGAGGTGAGCGAACCTGGTATGTGTTCGCTCACCTCCCAATCTACTGAGCCGACCTGTGACAGTCTCATTGTCACAGGTCGGCTAGAACTATGAGGTGAGTGGAAATCACTCATCTCATAGTTCTCCTTTAATGTGGGCATTCTACCTACATGCATGCATACATAGCACCCTGTGGAAAGTTTATTGTATTGCAATGTACAATGTGCTTTGTCGTGCAGTTAACTCTGCAATACACACATTTACAGTGTTACCATACATTGTGTATAGACTTGTTCACACTATAATGTGCATTCTAGCATTTCACTAGTTGATTTCAATTGTCCTGGAATTGTTGTTTGAATACTTAGCCAAAGCACTTTCATTCCAATAAATGTAAAATGCTACAATCATTGTTCAAGAAGGTCATGCTATTTGTTTTTTCCTGTCTCTCTGTAAATACACTTGGAGTTCCTCCTTTAGCAGAAGTCTATTCACCCAACGGGTAACATATAGCTCCCACCTGTATAATAAAGAACATAAAATTGCTGTATTTCTGCTTTTTAAGTCTGCAGCCACCAGACTTCTGTACTGCACAACAGGTGTTCTTCTGAGGCGTCTGGAAGGTGATGATAATTTGCAAGGTGTCACTCATGTAATTGTGGATGAAGTTCATGAAAGAACTGAGGAAAGGTAACAATATATAGTATAAATTGTTTATGGCTAGCACAGGGCTGGACAAATCCCAGTCGCTATGAAACCATGATTAGGCAATCTGATCATGGAAGTCTTTATTTGCAGTCATATTGACTGCCATTTCTTTAGTCACCATTAGGTGGTCCCTGGAAAAAAAAAAGTAAATGACCAACATTTTGTAGGAAAAGGGTCATGACTGGTCGGCTGTGGCCAGTGTGTGCTGATCATTAAAACATTAGTGTTGGTCTCATTACTACTTATATGCTTCAATGCTCAGCATCATGTACAATACTTGCTTGGCTAGACCAGTGCTTTATGCTCCGCGTTCTTCGTTGTCAGTCCCAATACCTTCTAGTGTGTCCTGGAAGTAAGCTGATCTGTACACCACACTTCTCATTGGCTGGACCAGTGCTTTATACTCTTAGTCACCAGTGTCACACCCAAGTATTACATGCATATACGTTATTGTGTGTCAATAAAATTAGGCTGGGTTATACTGGTTGCCAAGGTGACTGACTGACTGTATTTTAATTTTCTAAGCTGGCTCCTGGTTCCCTGAGAAATTTGTCCAGGCCTGGGCTAGCATTTCTTGTTTATTGATTGCATTCATATAAAGCCACATTTTCCTTCCCTTTTAATTCAGTGACTTCTTGTTGTTGGTATTGAAAAATGTTATGAGCAAGAGACCAGACCTGAAGATCTTGCTCATGAGTGCCACCTTGAATGCTGAGCTGTTTTCACAGTACTTCAGTGGATGCCCCATTGTTCACATACCAGGTAAGAGAACACGTTTTTGTAGCCAAAGCAACTGGCTGTTCTCATGTACCCTGAGTTATGTTAGCTGTTGTGCTCTTAGCTGGCAATACGTTACTGAATTACATACGTTACTGACTTTGGTGCAGTCTTACTATTTTTGGAAAATGTAAAACTTGCCTCGGGTAAAGAAGTCCATAAATAGAAATAATACAGTAGTTTAGAAAACTTAAGTGTCTATAAACGTAAGAGCACAAATGTAATTTCTTTCTTGTTCATTGAGTGACATCTGAGACTCTTTGGTTATACTTTCACCCTTTGGAGGATGTGGGCACTGGCAAACAAAAAAACAGTGGCCAGTCCAGTATCCTACTCCACTTTTACTCCCAGCATGCCTCATTTTTTGCCAGTTTCCTAGGAGGAATGATGCCTTTTTCTGAGGTGCTGAGAAAAGTCTTAACCTTTTTTGCTTGCTATTTTTCTTCAATAAAAAGTCCTCTACAAACTGCTGAGCTGGTCTGTACATGCAGCTATCCAGATCGGTAGCTACTCGGCACTTGCTTTGGAGGCTGCATCCAGACTCCACTGGACTTGGATGATTGCAGAGCTAGCCATGATTTTCTGACCTTCAGGCACTGGGCTCTGTATTGTAGCGCTTTCCAGACCGTAGTGTATGGTATTGGCTGTGAAGCACTTTCTGGGTCCAGAGTCATGACATAGCCCAAGGTGTGAGCCTGCCCCCAAGATTTACTTTGTGAGTAGGCTGCGTGGGCCCAAGCTCTAAGCACTACCTCATTACTAGGCCCTCTGAGTCATTTGAAATTTGACATGGTCCTTGAGTTTATTGCAGAATAGTCAACACTTGAGTGAGCAATGATGTCATCCGCTGGGTGGAGTTTACCATTCAGCATAGAGGAAGCATCTTCCCGCTGCTGCTCCTGACTCCTATTGACATGTGGATTTATCCTCATGTTCGTCTCTGCTACCTGCCAACTGTGACCTGGTCACCTCAGGCCACCTGAACCCTTTACTGCTACCAGCAGCTGGTTCGTGAGCATTCAAAGTCTGGGCTTGCACACTGAGCTACATTGCTGTTGCCATGTGGTGCAACATGTCAGATTTCAGACAGTGGAATTTTCCTTTTCCACTCTAACTCACAAGGTTGCATTGCTTGTTGTGATCACCTTTTGTAATGCATTTGAGTTGGCCACATTGTATCAAGAACTCATTTAGGTCTTCTGCAAGGATAAGGTAGTGTTGAGGCGTACAGCTTCCTTACTTTCTAAGGTGGTTTTGGCCTTATTATCTCAGCCAGGGCATTGCTCTTCTGTCCCTCTGTTAGGCTCCAGTTTATCAAACGGAGATCTCCCTCCATTGCTTGAATTTAGTTTGTGTTGGGCATGTCTACTTTGTAGACCCTGATTCCATTAGAAAGACTGACTCTTTGTCATCCCTGATGGTCCTGGTAAAGAGGAAGCAGCTTTGTGTTCCACCATTTCTCGATGGCTTAAACATGCAATTTTTTTTCCATTTGCCCTGTTCATACCATACATGAGCGGTGGTGTGCAGAAAAACGTAGCCCAAGGACATTGGGTAAACAAGCCCCGAATAATGATCTATACGTGTGGTGAAGTCCAGAAAGACACAACAGACATGGTATGAACAAGCATGGTATGAACACCTTGAGGATGTACTAGATCTGTGAGTGCTTCCTGGGCTTTTTGGCATCAAGTTACTGTTTCACGGATATTCAAGGCTGCTACCTGGTCTTCTGGTCACATTCTTTAAGTTGATTTAGGTGGATGTTCAAGACTCATCTGATTCCATGTTCGGGTGTGACGTCTTGGAGTCGCAGGCAATCCCCTGCTCTGTTTTTTTTTTCTTGTGGACTTGTGTGTGCTGGTTTACTTTGGACGTTCCACCTGTCTGAGTTCTTGTGTTTCTCCACAAACTAAAATGTTTGTACTTACCGTAAAATTAATTTCCTGGAGTTCGTGATTCATAAGCTCTTGATACTGCTTTAACGCCAGAAAGCTGGGAGTAGAAGGGGTTATACTGGGCTGGGCACTGGTTTTTGTTTTTTTTTTAGATGTGGTTGTTGGATTAGGTTTCCTTTTTTCTTTATTTTCACCTGGTAATCCTGATAGTAACACGCTTTGTGACCTGGAGAAAATGCTTACTTGCTGTACTATATCTATGAAGGAGCAGCATTGTGACTCTAGGCTGCACATAACTGATGTAGACTACAGACCCCTCATCTCTGTAACATAGGGGAGGTGTTCTGTAGTATACAGAGGTGAACTTACAAGCTCACTGGATTTCTGGCTGGATCAACAGGTTTTTCACCTGCAGCGTTTATGTAGAGAGAAAACATGAGGAAATGTGCATGTACTAAATGTTGTTGTTTTTCCCCACTCGGCCCAGATATAAATCAGGGGTCCCTAAATGGCAGACCGTGGTTCTGGATCCGGGCCAAGCAGCGGTTATTTCCTGACCTCGATCGCTGGCTAGGTTATGGCTGGCTGACAGCTGGCGCTGCTGGCTGGCTGTGACTGCCCCTAGGCATTGGCTGCTAGGGCCCCAACATTCATCGGGAACCATGGTTGCAGCGGTACGCTGATGTCAGAGCCGGCAACTGTAATATCAGATAGCAGCTACCACTAACGGAATCAGAAACTAGAGCATGATGACCAAAAGCCACTATTAATAGTAAAAGACCAAAGCAGCACATATTAACATTAATGGCACATTCATTTGGAGATGTATCCGAGGTATGCGTTTATCTTCTGAAATGCCCTTGCGGCCTCACATGATGGTAAGAACATGGGACCGTTTAAGCGTCAATTCCAAAAACATCGTAGTGATATCAGGATTTCTATTAAAATCCCCGGATCTGAACAAACCTGTGGCTGTCCACTTTGCCAAACTCCAACACCAGACCCACGAGCTATGGTGAATGGTGATCGAACATGTTGCAGCACCTTACAGGGGTGGGCATCATCATAGGTTCCTTCACCAACGTGAGGCTTACTGGATTCACACACTGGATAGTCATACCCAGCGGTCTCATTACGAGCCTCACACTGTAATGCTTTTTACCTGATCATTGATCAATTCCCTTGGGCTATTTGCTTGTTCCCATATAGCGAACTTGTCTTTTTTGCCCCAGACCTCTGCTTATTGACCCTGTTATATACTACCACCATGTGGTTAATCTATAGCTGTATTCTCACAGTGGTTTTAGCGACTCCAGTTCAGTATAAGTGTCCCAATTTTCACTTTATCTTAGACAACGCTAGATTATATGGATTTTGCTCATATACCAGTATACCCTACCACGGTGTCAGGCCTGTTCCCCTAGTCTGACAGTCGGGATGTGACATATAGGCACATAGCTTTCGCAGGATTCTGTACAACCTAGTAGCATTGTCCACTCGCATGCATTTACACAGCATTATGTATTCGCTCATTTATTCATGGGTCGCTATGAATACTCACAATACATCTTATGAAATCTATGATCCATAATGTATACTTATTGATACTCTTAATTTTTTAATTTTTTCATGATACATGTATGTGCGCATGCATATACATGCGTAATTATGAACGCTCTCAATGTTTGCATTTGTTTGGTGGGTTCACAGTTATCAATTTTTCTACCCCACCTTGCTTATATTCTTTGACTAGGCATACTTGAACTCATCTCTTTACCTGGCACATAGTAAACCAATGAGATTATGTCTCTGCGGTGTCTTACTTTAAAATGTGGCTTCTGCTCATATATACACTGACACAGCCATACATCAGCAATTTTTTACACGTGCTTATGTGTGTCTATGATTGGCCGTCTGATCATGTCCATTTTGCGCAGTTTTCATTTTTTTGACTAATTTCCATTTTCTCTTTGTTTTTATGCGTGGCTATGATTTAATATATCGGTTCTTAGGGCCTGTCATTTAAGATACCTGTTTTCAGTGAGGCATGCATGACCCCTTGATTTCTTGTCCCGATGTTCTGTTGCATCTGCTTTCTGATACCGCACAGAGATCTGTTTTTACATGCTTATCTATACATCTCCAGATGAATGTGCCATTAATATTAATATGTGCTGCTTTAGACTTTTACTATTAATATGGCTTTTGGCCATCAAACTCCGGTTCCTGAGTTCGTTAGTGGTAGCTGCGATCTGATATCTCAGTTGCCGGCTCTCCGCTGCAACCATGGTTACCAGTGGCACAGCCGGTTCCACACTCCTATGGGTGTGGGCGGCCTCTCTCGGTACCAGTCCCGCCACTATGTTGGGGGAGAGGCTGGGTCCGCGTCATAATGACGTGTGTGGCCGCATATAACTTTAATGTTTCAGAGTTCCTGTGTTTCTCAATGAACTTCAAGAAAAATATTTTACAGTAAGTACAAAAATCCAATTTTTGATAGCCCTCCTTTTCAAACATTTCCAGTATTGTATTTGCATGTACGTAATGTCCTGTTAATTTTGTACAGTTTCAATTGCTTCCATACTCTTCTTCTTGTAAGGATATTTTAAAAGAAGTCTTTAAAAGAAGTGTTTAAATACATGTGTGCATTCATGAATAGTTACGCATGAGCATATATTTTCTTTTAAGCCCACCAAACAGTCTCAAAAAAGGGTCTTGTTCTGTTGTCAGCAACAAACCGGCATCCACAAGTTTATTCAGAACATATTACAGCAGTACTTTTTAAAGTCCTTGGTACAAGACCCATATATTGCCATAATTATTTTAAAAGGATATAAACAATAGCAATGCTGTCTTAGAAAAGGCAATGTGATAAAAGTGGCAATGTGATAAAAGTATCAGAACACCTGTGACATCTTGTGTATGGGGAAAAAAATGATGTATCCACTACGCACTATTTAAATAAGCAATAAAAATAAGATTACGATCTTGCCTATAAAACACCACCCCAGGTATTGTGAATGTTTTGTCCTAAATGTGCTGTTTATTGCAGGTCATACTTTTCCTGTTGAACAGTTTTTTCTAGAAGATGCAATTGCTAAAACAAGGTAAAAAATCCAAAGTTTATTGCCATGACTTTTATATTTTGAGCTTCATAAATGTCTAATGTTCAGATGGCTGAAATGATCAGTAAAGAGACTATGAAGGGGGAAAAATCCAAAATGTCAGTGGTGTATATGCTTTAATAATACAGCTAGATATTTTATTCTCTACTTGTGATATTCAAGTGACTAATTATTAGTAAATGGAATGATTTGCAGATTAGAGCTTAAGCAAGTTAAAACAATAATTCTGTGGCAAAATAGTTTTAGGCATATTACTTCAGATCATGGACATAGGGGGCAGCCAAGTGAATGACCGATCAGAAGTGAAGTGAGCCGAACACTGTTCGGCTATTCACTTCAGGCTGAAGCTACGGCCAGATCCTTCGGCAGCTTTGTGAATAGACCCCTTTAGTTTTTGTTTTTTTGTGCAAACTCCTGTTTCAATTGAGTCATTTGACAATCTAATTGTTTCAATATTCTATGAGAACATTTTCAAACATTTTTTTCTCTCTCGCCCATTGAGGGACACAGACATTTAGTTCTACTTTTTAGCTACAGCAGGATTGGATACTGGCAACATTTGTGGACCCCCAGTATCCCCCCCCCCCCTTTATACTCTGTTCTGCTGGGAAAAGTCTAACTTTTTTGCTATCTGATTTATTTATTTATTTTTCCCGAGAGTTATACTTCAATCATGATTCCTGATACATCGATGCTAAGCTGGCCTCTCTGTGCTACTTTAAGCTTTTCAGGCATGTGTGCTGTGGATCGTTCTGCAGATGCACATCCCCAGGAGTGACAGCGTCTCACTTTGTGTGCATGCTGAACACTGGGAGCTACCCTGGTATGATTCACTTTCTGCTGGTTTTGCCGCAGAAGGGGTTAGCCCCGAGGGCTTGAGCTTTAATGTCATTCACTGTTGAATGACAAAAAAGTGAGCACGAAGTGCAAGTGACACTCCACCCAGTGAGGAACCACCTTCCTGCTGCAGCCACTTGACTGCAAGTGACATGTGGAACTATCTTTGGTTGTTGTTTGCTGCCTAGCTACAGTGACTTGATCCTCGCCCCTCTCGCATTGAATGTTTGAAGCCTAGTCTTGTCCCTGATTTACCATGGTCTCCACCTTGATGCATACCGGACAGTCCCGGCTGCCTCCATCTCGCACTCCACTAACTGTTCCAGTGTTGCCTGCATAGTGCTCCCTGAGGTGCCTGACACTGACGGCCTTTAATTTTGTTCTTTGAGTCCATGCCATCTTGTGCAGTCTTTACTGACTCCATTAGGTGTGGCCCAGTGGCGTAACAATTGACATATTGACCCAGGCGGCCGCTATAGGGCCCGGGGCACAAGGGGCCTGGGTCGCTACGGCATCTTATGCTGGTGGCTTTCACTGGCGGCTGTGAGTGAGTCTATGGTGGGCTCTGCAGGGTCACCCTCGGGTGGGCTGCGTGGGCTCTGCAAGGGGCATAACTAAAGTTACAGGGCCCCATACAAAATTATCTATGGGGCCCTGTGATTTCTAGTTACGCCCCTGGTGTGGCCCCCTCAGCTCTATCTGGGGGAAATTACACAGCAGTCGGCAGTCATGCATGAGTTAATGGGCCAAATAGCAAATTTGATTGCTGACACAAGTGTGCTTCCACACCTTCTCCTGTAGAATCCTTAATTGATCTGACAGCGGGAATTAGAAGCTGCTGAGACTTTGTCTGACATTGAGTCTCTTAAGTCCATAATAGGTGATCTGAGAAGACACAGGCTTCTGTTATTACTGCTAAACTTAGCGTATTGCCACTTTTGCAGTCAAATTTGATAAAACCCCTATATGTTTGCTGTGCGTTCCCATTCACACAGCATAACGAAAAATCATTTTATAATAAATATTTCCTACCTTTTTAGATGTTTGCCTGAATCAAGGTTTTTCTGAGCACCTTCACAGTGATCTGTCTTTTTTATAGTAAGACTAAGGTTGGGTTCACACCTAGGCGTACCGAATATGCACGTTTGCCGCGTGGTTTGACCACGATTCGCAGTAAAAAAAATGTGCGACAAACGCGCGTTTCCGAGGGCTATCCGGCTGTATCCTAATGGATACGCGCTGCAAATACGCCCCCAAGAAGCTCCTGTACTTCTTTGGGCGTAGGGCGTTTTACGCGCTGTAAAACGCCCAGGTGGGAACCATGCCGATGGGCAATCATTGGTTTTCACATGTTGAGCGTTTTATAGCGCGTAGGAAGGTGCTGTAAAATGCCCAGGTGTGAACCAGGCCTTAGGACTGACATTTTTTAGACTGTGTTTGTTTGTCTCTCCTAGCTCTGCCTAACATTACAAATGAGGAGAAACCAAGTCAAAATGTTAACCCTTAAAACACCAAGAAACCTAACACACTAAAGCAATTTAAACCGCAAAAAGCATTTTTGATTGAATTATTTTTTAGATAAAGATATGTGAATGGGAAGATGTAACACAAATAAAACAAACGTTATCCCAAGTTGGCTGCAAAAGTGGAAATGCACTTTAAGAGGCCATTAGGGCCACTTGTTGACATGGTACGCACCACCTTAAAGCTTGAGGATCAGCCTTTAGCTTTTACAGGTGCTGTCCTTTAAGGGTCTCCAAGACTGGCAAGACTTTTCTGTTCACGGGTACACAGGAGACTGGACGAGTTGTCTGCCTGTCCCAAATGACTTTTAGCCCTGTACCCAATTCAGGAGAACTTTATTGAAAGGTGGACCCCCTTTTGTGGGATCCGGCAGTATCTTGTCAACAACCTTTATCCATCCCCATAGATGATGCACATGTGTTTTTAATGCCCACATCAACCAAAGTGATTAGATCCCCTTTTTAGAACTTTCTCACTGGCAGGCCCTCTACTGAAACCTGTCTTAAGATGCCCATACACTGCTCAATTCTCGTACGAGAATCGCAGGAAATCCCGCGATCGCACGAGAATCGAGCAGTGTGAACGAAGACGTACGACCGTTTCTACTGTACGGTCGCACGTCTTTTATCTAAGGAGCATGCTAGAAAACCAGCCAAGAATCGTACGATTTTCGGCTGGTTTGAGCGGTGCTCGGGAGACAAATGCCGAACGTGCAGGTGTGCGCACGCGCACACTTCCCGTTGAGCATTGCGGTCATCGGAAGCCCGCCCCTCGGGGGCGGGCTTGCGATGTTCGAGAGTACGATCTGCCTGTCCAAGATGGGCAGATCGTACGTTTTTTTTAATCACTTTACAACCATCGCAAGACTAAGGTCTTGCGATGGTTGTACAGTGTATGGCCACCTTTAGTTGTGACCAGAGGCGTAACTAGAACCTTCAGGGCCCAGGTGCAAGAAACCATGAAGGCCCCCCCCCCCAACCGCCATGGCACCGCATGGTTAACAGGAAGACTGCCGAGGTCCCCAGCAGGCGCGGGACCTCAGGCAGCCGCTTGTTTAAAACGTTAGTACCGGTGTTCTGTCGAACGCCAACCCAGTATCTGCGCTTACGTACAGACGGGCTTACCAGGGAAACCATTTACAAAGTATTTGTTTGTGATGGTTAATTGTGACCGTTAATAATATGCCGTCCATGAATGATGGATGGAATATTATCGGTCACAATTAAAGATTTAAACGAAATACTTTGTGAATAAATCCCGGTTTCCTCGATAATATTGGTCTGTGCGCAAGCGCATATGCTGAGGTCGGCAAATTCGACTACGTCGGCGTTCTCGACAGACCACCGGTATCTGCACTTAGTATCTGGGCATTTTCACTAGTATGAGTACTTGGGAAAATGCCCAGTATCGGCACTGGTGCTTCCCTACTTAAAAATATAATGCATTGCTGGGACTTGTAGTCCTACATAGTTGGAGCTATTCTGCATTGCTGTATAATCATCATACAGCAATGCCGAAAACCACCAGCAATGCGTAAAAGTGAGCACTATATCACCAGCATCACACACACACGCACAAACCCACACTCCAGACTTACCTCTCTGGAGGCCCTCTTTCAGGAGGGATGCGGAAGGTCTCACGAGGGGAGCGGAAGGTCCCAGGGGGGAAGCGCAAGGTCTCAGGAGGGGTAGCAGAATGTCCCGGGAGGGGTAGCAGAATGTCCCGGGAGGGGTAGCAGAATGTCCCGGGAGGGGTGCGGAGGGTGTCGGGAGGGGTGCGGAGGGTGTCGGGAGGGGTGCGGAATGTCCCCAGAGGGGTGTGGAAGGTCCTGGGAGGGGTGCAGAGGGTGTCGGGAGGGGTGCAGAAGGTCTCTGGAGGGGTGTGCAGGTTGTCAGGAAGGGTACAGAGGGTGTCAGGAGGGGCGCAGAGGGTCACTGTAATTGCTCAGTCTTATACAATCACATGAATTTCTAGTGATTGTGTAAGACTGAGCAATAGTTTGTTTTAGCAAGCCCCCGCCTCCCACTGACAGGACGCTGCAGATAACTCATCGCTCCGAAGTCTCAGAGAGATCAATCTGCTCTCTCTGAGACCCTGGAGCTAAGAGGCAGATAGGAGAGAAGCAGCTCAGACGGGCACAGTTCCTTGCGGCCGCAAGGAACTGTGCCCGTCTGAGTGCGTGCGGACGGCAATGCATTCCGGCGGAGTCTCGGCAGGGAAGGAGCGGCACTCTCTGGGAG